GTGGACGCTTTAGAGCTAAGACTCCATCTGACAGCGCATAGGGTACAACAATTGCTGGTTTATCTTTTGAATCTGTCTTTGCATCTTGGTGATTTTCAGACACATGGCAAAAACTAATTCATGCTACATTTTCTTAAAGTTGGGCCTCTCTGAGTCCTATGTGTAAAACATATTTACCTTCTAGCAACTTGGGTGTTATTGCCTGAATAAACCATCCTTCTTTCTTTTAATGTACGGCACATAATAATTTTACAAACAAACTCAGTTCCGTGCAGCCCACATTAACAGTCTCAACCAGTTTGCTCTGCGTGCATAACAAAATACTTAGAGAAATAGAAAAAACTGTGTGGATTTCAAATGTACCTCAGGGTTTATTTCTTTCAAAAGTTTTTTTCTCTGTGCTTTCCAAGTCCCCAGACATTTTTCAGTTTTCATTCTGACCATGAGTTTTAAATGGCTGTGTACTCCACACTAGGCCTGTATTGAGGGCTAGGGGTGAAGAAGCAAAAAGACACAGCCCTGCCCATGGGGAACTAGACAGAGAGTCCTTCCTGACCATACAGGGTGGGATCTGCTATAAATGGCTGCTGTAACCAGCTGTCCTTTTGAACTCATGGCCACCCCGCGTGGTTCAGAGTAGAACTGGGCTCCCCAGGCTTCATATCAACAGATGTTTCTGAAGTCGATCACCAGGTCTTTCTTCTGTGGAACCCCTGGTTGGATTTGAACTGTCAACCTCTTGGTTAACACCCGAGCCCTTAATCATTTGCACCAGCCAGGGACTCCAGTATCTGCTAAAATTGTTGACTCATAGCGACCCTTTATAGGATTTCTGAGGAGCGGCTGGTGGGTTTGAACTGCCGACCTTGCGGTTTTCAGTCTAGTGCCTATCCTACAGCGCCACACCTCTGCTATGATATGGACCCTAAAAAATGAAAACTGAAACTTCCATTTTGCTCAGCCTTGGACGTGTGGCACCCCATCCGAAGGTCCTGGCATCAGGTCTCGAACGAATGTATCAATCAAGTAACTATATCCTGTCTGTTGTTATTATGTGCCGTGGAGTCGGTTCCAACTCATAGCGACCCTGCATAGGGTTTCCAAGGCTGTAAATCTTTACGGGAGCAGAAAGCCTCATCTTTTTTTCCCGCGGAAGAGCTGGTAGTTTCGAACTGCTGACCCTGAGGTTCGCAGCCTGATTTGTAATCACTACGTTACCAGAGCTCTGCGAATAGATGTTATAAATTTTGGCTGAGGAAAGGTTCCCCACCCTTGGTATATATCCTTAAGAAATTAGATCTGTGACATGAATAGATAAATGCACACTCGTGTTCATCACAAGGCTACTCAATAAATAGCTAGCAAATGGAGACAGCCTAGATGCCCATCAGCAGAGGAAGGGTTGAAGAAACCTTGGTGCATGCACACAGTGGGCTATTGCATAACATTGAAGAATATAACAAAGAACCTGCAAAACGCTGCATCCCATGGAGGAACCTGGGGGTAAAGGCCAGTAAGTCGGTTCTGACCTGAGGAGCATCTGGTAAGTTTGAACTGCCGACCTTGTGGCTCAAACGGACCTTTTGGTCTAGTGCTTTATCCCACAGTGCCACACCACGACTCCTAATAGAGGACATTATGTTGAGAGAAATTAGTTGGTCTCAAAGGGACAGACATTGTATAAGAGAGATCACTTCTGTAAAAGTCAAGAGAAGGTTTTCATTCTACAATAACGTTCTGTGATGGTTACTGGGGGAGGGAGGAAGGGAGAATTATTCACATGCTAACTCGAGTGACAGGGAAGGCAGTTAAAAAGAAAAGGAAGGGGGGCAAAAAAAGGAAATTGCTCTCATTTTTGTCTGATTTTTTTTTTCTTTCTTGTACATGACCCTGTATACAGTTTCCAAGGAGCAGCTGGTGGGTTTGAACTGCTAACCTTGCAGTTAGCAGTCCAGTGCTTATCCTACAGCACCACACCAGGAGTGGTGGGGGCTGGGGAGGGATGAAATAAAAGAATTAAAAAGTTTGGTGGTTAGTGGTGATGTGCCGTTAAGGTGGTTTGAACTCATTTTGACCCTGCATAGGGTTTCTGAGGCTGTAAATCTTTACAGGAGCAGAAAACCTCCCATGGAGCGGCTGGTAGATTCGAACTATTGACCTTGCAGTTAGCAACCCAACTGGTAACCACCACGCTCCCAGGCCTCCTTCCATCAAGATTATAGGCTGGGAAACTATGGGACAGTTCTCCATCCTATAGGGTTGCTACGAGTGGGAATCAGGCTGGCAAACCCTGTGGAGAAGTTCCTCTCTGTCACATGGGGTCACTAGGAGCGAAGCATCCACTCACCTGCACTCAGAAGCAGCAGCAAGTTTTTCTGTAGGTAGGTTGTTTTGAGAAGGTGCCGGTGACTTCTTCTCTGCCAGCCACCAGTCCTCCCAAGACACAGAGGTGGACAGGACGGTGCAGGACCTGCTGAACATGCGGCGGAGATGGCTAATAGTGGCCGGCTCCCTTCGAGGTCCTCTCTGGCCTGGCCAGCCCTAATCTGCTGAGCACGCTCTTCCCCCACGAGGCTCCTCATTGTTCAATAAGCAGATTATACAGCGTGGCGTGGAACGAAGCGGGACTGTCGCCAGACCTGCCACTCGCCTTGCTTTGCAGACAATGGCTTCCTGTGCCATCCGGTCGGGGTCCATTCCGCCTTTCTGGTCTGTGGTGGCTGTGAGGCTGCGGTCACACCTGCTCCCAGCCTCTGCCCTCTGTACCGGCTCTTCTCACCTGAGTGTTTCCTAGAGGAGCTCCTGGTGGCTTAGTTCCAAAGAAATAAACCAGCCACTGAGGACACTGCAGAGCACTGCTCTCTTCTGACACACAGGGGGCGCCGTGAGCCAGAGTCAGCTCCACGGCAACCCCGGGAAGCCCAGGCGCCCCATGTAAACAGCAAAGTGGCATTACTTCCTTCTTAGACAGATGGGGAAACCGCTACAGCCCGCACAGCAGGCCCGGTATGTTCTAGAAGAAACAGGGATTCTAGAAAGGCTATTTTGTCGTGTAGGAGTTTCTGCATGAGGAGGGACTGAGCTAGAGCCACTCAAAATAGCTTCCTTTCGAGACCAGATGAGGTCGAGATGCCTGGATTCTTCACCTCTGACATGTCATCATTCCGGGCTAACGTAGGAGCCTCCTTGCGCTGGACGCAGGGGGCAGGGTCCAGGATGGAGGCGATATGCTTTTGGTCCCATTCTGTGTTATTAGGTATTCATTAGATGTCACAATTAAGTCTCAAGAGGTGAGACTTAACCTGTGGTGTGGCCGAAGCCACGTAGTAACGCATTTTGTAATTGTGGTTCCAACCAAATCCATGAATTAAAACAGCAGACTGTCTGGGCAGACTGAGAATTTGTTGTGAAATGTCATCGAGTCAGTTCCGACTCATAAGCTCCCTGTATAGGATTTCCGAAGAGTGGCTGGTAAGTTTGAACCACCCACCTTGCGATTCAAACCAACCTTGCGGTCCAGTGCTTATCTCTACAGCGTCACACTTAGAGGCAGTGAAACATGATGGGAAGGGTTGTTGTTGTTAGGTGCCATGGAGTCGGTTCCGACTCATAGCAACCCTGCATAGGGTTTCCCGAGGCTGTAAATCTTTACGGGAGCAGAAAGTCTCATCTTTCTCCAGTGGAACAGCTGGTGGTTTCAAACTGCTGACCTTGTGACTTGCAGCCTGGGTGGGGACCACAAAAGCAGCCGGCTTGGAACCCTGTGACCTGTGTGAACTTGGACCATCTATTAGCCTCTCTGGGCTCTGTTTCCTCTTCTGTTCATTGTCGTTGTTCCAACTCATAGCGACCCTGGATAGGGGTTTCCGAGGAGCGGCTGGTGGGTTCTGTCATGTGTCTGCTCATTCTGTGGGATATCTGTGAGGGTGGTGCACAGTTACAGCACGTGACAAGTGGTCTATGCTAACGGTTCGATCAATGTTCATTATTGTTACTATCAGTAGTGGTAACAACCTAAGACCTTCCCTCACTGAAGCAGAGGCTACCAATCAATTTTTCAAATTTTATTCGTTTTGTTGATGAGTGCATGTGCACCACGGCACGCATCAGTTCAACAGCGTCTCCACGTACAGTGCAGCGGCACTGAAGATGCTCTCAGAGTGTGCAGACACTGCCACCGTCCCTTTCTGAGCTGTCCCCCCACCATGAATACAACTCACTGCCCCTCAGGTTCCTGTCAGAACTTTCAAGTTCCTGTTCTCAGTTTGGTCCCGTAGAGACAGGCCTTAAAAAGAGCACAATGATCAAGGCAGACGTTGCTTACTAGTTAAGCTAGACTACTGTTTGGTTTTAAGAAGACTTTGGGGGATATTTGTGGGTGAAGGTTTAATGATGGTACCGGGGCTATAGTTTTAGGGGTTCATCCACCTTCCCTAGTTCCACTAAACCAAGAATTTTTCAGAAAAATAATGAAGCCCCATGCTGTCTAAAATTACCTGGGAACAGTTACTGTGCTGGGCACATTGTTGTCATTTAACTGCACAAAACCCTGCTCTCATCCTGCTTTATAAAGAGGAAGCAAAGGCCCAGAGAGGCTCAGTCACTGGCCCAGGGTCACACAGCCAGGCTCTGACTCCATCGGGATGACCTCGTCTGCCTCTGCTGGATCATGAAGACACTTCTCCATCGGGTCGATCCTGACCCTAGATAGGGTCTCCGAGACTGCAGATCCTTACAGGAGCAAACAGTCTCATCTTTCTTCCACAGAATGACTGGTGGGTTTGAACCCTTGACCTTGCACTTAACTGCCTATATATAATCCACTGCACCCAGGAAGTGTCTGTGTGGGGCTCTGCATGGCCTCCAGCAGGCTTCTCTATGGGGCTTTCTGGTCCCACCTGTTGGTGTGCGTGTTAGCTCAGCGTATGTGTGGTTTTCCCCCACACTCGCTGCTCTACCCCTGTGGCTGGTATTGACCACCCAATGACCTCTTCTACCAGCTCCCCGTCCAGCGCAGATACCAGCCTGCGTTTTCCCGAGAGCAACGGGCTGCCGCCACCACGCTGGGAAGAACCACCTCGGGGCTGTACACTGGAGCAGACGTGCGGCGTCTTCCGTGTGGACCTGGGCCATATGCGGTCCCTCCGCCTTTTCTTCAGGTGAGGACCACGGGCCACTCAAGGGAAGCTGGCCTGTGGTCAGTTAGCTCTCTGCAGCTGCTGCTCCATCCCTGGGGTGATTGCTGGGCGCTGGTTGGCGTTCCCCATCACCAACACGATTTTACTGAGGGGTTACCTTTACTGATCTGCACGGGATCTCGGACTTGAAGGAAACCAACAGGCAGCTTCAGGGAGGCACAGGGAGGCAGCTTCAGGGAGGCACGGATACCTTGACCCTCTGGCTCAAGACTCCCTTTGTCACAGGGAACCACCCCAGTTTCCTGCCTAACCTTGTGATCCCATGCTCTCCAGAATGAATTGCTAACCAGTCTTGCATGCCCATCCCCATGACTGGCTGTGAATTGGACTGTTTGCAATGCACAGGGTTTTTGAAAGTGGATCACCAATCCTCCCCTACTAGATGGGAGGGGGCTGCACCTGAGGTGCATTGGGTGGGTATCGAACCAGTCTCCCACATGGGGAAAGAGCCACCACTGCCCCCACGTAGCCAGTTGCTGTGAAGTTCCCTATGTGGGTTTCACAGAACTGTGTGCCAAAGGGGCTTTTGATGGGTGATTGTTCAAGGTAGACTGCCAGACCTTTCTTCCAAGGTGCCTCTGGGAGGACTTGAGCTTCTGACCTTTCAGTTAGTGACAGAACTGGTTAACCGCCCACCAGATACGCACTGGGCCGCCATGAGTCAGCAACTGACTCCAGGTGAAGAGCCATATGGAACCCACCCTTTTCGCAGTTCGATTTCTGACTGAGAGCTGCCGTGCTTAGGGGTTCAGGGTTTGGTCCAGACACCACAGAATGTTTAACGAATTCTGGGACGATTCTTCCAGAATGCTGTTGTGTTTGATGGAAGGTGAGTCCACGTGCCCATCCATCTTATCTCCTGGGCTCAACACCAGTCCCAGCCAGTGCCTGGTATCCACCCTGGGTCACCCAGATGGTAGGGAGATCTCTGGGGAGGCCGCCCAGGAGGGACCGGAGCCCTCCCATGTCCCAAGAGGGACCAACCACTTGGCCTCCTTTGCAACAAGGCGAGCAGTACGGCCTTTGCTTTCATGACCTTGTTTCTGCTAGCCTCCTGCCAAATCCAACTCCCTAGGACTTCCCACTCCCCCCTCTGCTGTCCATAGTGCCAGAAATCACCAAGAGACTGTGTGTTCACGGTGCTCTCCTCCCCCAACCCCCGTGTCTATGACCGTCAGTGATGAGGCCTGCACCAGTGGTCAACTCGTGGTGGCCAGCCGGGAGAGCCAGTACAAGGTCTTCCACTTCCACCACGGTGGTCTGGACAAGCTGGCAGACGTGTTCCAGCAGTGGAAATACTGCACCGAGACGCACCTCAGGGACCAGGTAGCACCTTGTGGACTGAGGCCCCTCTTGTCCCCTCCAGTGTTAATGGGGATTGCAATCTGGGTGACGAAGGGCTCCTGGGGGTGACCTGTGATCCTGGGGTGGGGGCAGCATTTGGGATCCCAGAGTCATGGAGGGGCAGAGGGCTGATATAGTTGCTCAGGATTTGAAACCCAGGACCCTTTTCAAAATCGGCCATGAACTTGAGAATCATGTTTTGACAAGGCCTCCTGCCATATTTTGCTCAATCTACATACAAATGTGATAAGAGCTCTTTAATTATCTGTTTAAGATACAGTATGTGCTTATTAGAACTGGGGCTGACTTTAAAATTTCCTTCCTTCCCACCGAGCCCCCCGCTGTTCACCCTTATTACAATAGCATAGCTCCCCCCTTCTTCCCCCCACCCCCAGAACAACCTTTGATTTCTGAATGAAATGTCAGCCACAGTTGCGCCCCGGCGCCCTGACTGCCCCCGCGGAGAGGGCCTGACGGGCTGGCTCCCCGCGCTGAACAGCACACTCTTTGTATGTGGCTGATCACTTGTAATTTATCGCTGGGCCTCCTGGCCGAGGGGAGGCGGACCCCACCAGGCACAACTCCCGCTTGTGCGGCTGGGGGACATAGGGAGGAATGTGGGGGTGGGTAGTCCCAGCCAGGGGAGCCCGGTTTGGAGAAGAAGTTATTTTCATTTTAATTGCTTCAAATTTCACTTGCTGGGGACGTGGCTGCCGGCTTTCAGGCTCCTCTTCCCGGCTTTGGGGAGGGGAGACGGCGGCTTTCAGCGCTGGGAAAGCCGCCGATTTGACACGCTGATCCTTCCCCGGCCACCTTCCTGGTCCGGTCCGGCAGGTTGCTGACGAGAAGACCTGTATGCAGTTCTCCATCCGGCGTCCCAAACTACCCTCGTCTGAGACCCACCCCGAGGAGAGTAAGTACAAGAGATTGGACGTGACGGCCTGGCTGGACCATCTCAATGAACTGGGCCAGGTGGAGGAGGAGTACAAGCTCCGTAAGGTAGGGCTGCCCATCTGGGAGACGGGAGCACAGAGCTCAGGCCCCCACGGGCCACCTCCTCAGGAGGGCCCCGTCCCCCTGTGTGCGGCACTGTGCGAACACCCCCCTCCCCAGTAAGCAATCAAAGCCGCTGGCAGGAAACAAAACGCTAAGCGAGTTTGGGGGACCCGGTGTCAGCCTCCATAGAAGAGCCCTCAGGGAAATACAGCATTTCCAAGACCAGGGATTAGACGGTGACGTGAGAACCTCACGTTAATCTCAACGCCGCCCCAGGGGGGGTTATTGACATTGAAATGAGCCCGGTTTGTAGCACGGATGGGAATGGGGGGCCGACCCTTTCCCCTTCCAAACAAGTGCAAATTGCCACCATCTGAATCAAGGGTTCAGTTGTGAGGAAAACCCACCCAAACCACCATCACCACCCCGATGTTTGCGGCTGGGGTGGGGGTGTCTCTGGCTGCCCTCTTTTACCCCCTCCCCAGCTTGTGCTGCTTCCTGTAGGCCATTTTCTTTGGCGGCATTGATGTTTCAATCCGGGGCGAGGTCTGGCCCTTCCTGCTGCGTTATTACAGCCCCGAGTCCACGTCCGAGGAGCGGGAGGCGCTGCGGGCCCAGAAGCGAAAGGAGTACTCGGATGTCCAGCAGAAACGGTACCTCCAGGCCATCCCCATGGACACCCCCCCCCAACGGAAATGTCATTGCAAAAGTGAATTTGAGGTGCAATTCGGCATGGATAAAATATGTGTCGTGACCCACAGTTTCTTTGAGAATGGTCTCCCAGGATTAGAGTGACAGGGTGAGACTGGAGCTCACCTGTCAGAGTTCTAGAATATTCTTCATCCCACCAAGCGCTGGAGTGGGAGCAGAGGGATGATTTGGGGGCTACTGTGAGCTCTCCGCGTGGGAAGTTAAGGCAGGAGAGCCGCTTGGGTCGATAGCACCCATCTAAGTCAGAGGGCAATGGGGTAAGACCAGCGGCAGCACCCTAGTTCCCATCCAGCTCCTGCCTGGAGTGCATGTGCCAACTCGGTGACACCTGCCCACCGTTCCCACCTGCAGCCTCACTATGACCCCCGAGGCACACCAAGAGTTCTGGCGCAACGTGCAGTTCACTGTAGACAAAGACGTGGTGCGGACGGATCGGGGCAATCAGTTCTTCCGAGGAGAGGGCAACCCTAACGTGGAGAGCATGAGGTAGGCACCACCCACTCCCCAGACCAACAAACACCCAGATGCCCCATCCACCTCCCAATCTGCAAACCTGAGTCCATCCTTCCAGAAGGTGAACACACGCAGGCGCCACCTTCTGCAGGGGTCTTCTTTCCTTTCAGGGTCATGTAACCAACACACACAGGTAGGGACACACTGACTACTTTAAAAAAAAAACAAACGCTGCGTGAGCGATTCCACTCAGAGTGACCCTTTAGGACAAAGTAGAACTAACTGTCCCATGGGGTTTCTGAGGCTGTAATGGGTTAGTGGGTTACAAAGTTGGGTTGCTAACCTCAAGCCAAGCAATTCGTACCCACCAGCTGCTCCACAGGAGAAAGATGAGGCTTTCTACTCCCACAAAGATTTACAGTCTTGGAAACCTACACAGGGTTGCTATGAGTCTGAACTAACCCCACGCACACAGCAATGGTGGCAGCAATCTTTATGAGAGCGCACTGTCTCGCGTGTCCGCAGAGAGCAGCTAGTGAGGCCAGACCACGGACCAGCACCCAATACTAACCCACTATACCACAGGGCCCCCTACTGACTACATAAATGCTTTTTAGTAAACATGTCACACCACAGCATCCTAAGGAACCTCACAAGCCTCCCCCAGGTGCCCACAAAAGGCTTTCCCAGGTCCTCTGGTGATACAGTGCTTTAAGAGTTGGGCTGCTAACCTCAAAGTTGGTAGTTCAAGCCCATTAGCCACTCCTCAGTCTGCTCCCTAGAAGATTTACTGCCTTGGAAACTCTAGAGAACAGTTCTACTCCATCTTTCCGGGTCACTGTGAGGTGAAACAGACTTGACTGTTTTTGGTTTAGTCCCCCGGCTGGGTCCCTGTAAACGAGCCTCCACTTGGAGCTGGAAGCTGGTACCTGTGTCTCTCTGCTGAAAAACAGTTGCACATAATCGCGGCCCTGGGTTACAACCCATAAAGATCCCACCAAGAAAACCTTACAGAGCACAGTTGTACTGGGTAACGGAGGGTCGTCAGCAGCTGGACTGTCTCCGTGGCAATGGGTACCTTTGCAAACAAAGCAAGAGCCATTGATCTAGATCCAAGATGCAGATTCTTTCTGAAGATTCCCCAGACCTTCATGGCACCAGCTTCAGAGTCACCTGCCCTGAACTGAAAGCGCAGAACGGGGTCCCGGGAACCCATGGCTGTAGCTCGGGGCTCTGTCTGCCAACAGGTGTGCCTGGGAGGTCGTCGTGGGTACCCTGCTGACCTCCCTGTGCCCCCTCCCCTTAATTGCCAGGAGGATCTTGCTAAACTACGCCGTGTACAACCCGGCCATCGGCTACTCCCAGGGCATGTCGGACCTGGTGGCACCCATCCTGGCCGAGGTCCTGGATGAGTCAGATACCTTCTGGTGCTTCGTCGGGTTGATGCAGAACACCATCTTCGTTAGCTCTCCTCGGGACGAGGACATGGAGAAACAGCTGGTGAGGCTCCGGACGAGTGTGCGCATGCGCACGGCATGTGTCGGTGGAGGCTGCCACGAGGGGGCGCTCACTCGCCCCCGCCTCTGGCCACAAGGTTGGGCAGCAATGTGTGGCCCCGGGAAAGTCAGGTGGGGCACAGTGCTGGGTACTGGGGACAACCAGGCCTCCCCAGGAAGGATGCTGCTCCTAGGCTGGGAGTGCACGCCCATGGCTGCCTGAAGCCGTACTGTCCGGTGAGGTGGGAACGTGTCCTCGCTGCTGGATGGGAACTGGAGGGCTTTCCCACGGTCCCCCCACCCCTCCAGGAAGGAAGGCACCCCTGCCCTCACAGATTCCAGGGTGTCAGTCCTGCTTAGCTCGACACGAGGCAGCCCTGAGTGAGAGGAAGTCAGCAAAGTGGGGTGCCAGGGCTAGGAGATTTGGAGGACCAGTGTGCGGTGTATGCATGCTCAGGGGACGTGGTCTCGGCCTCTGGCTCCGAGGGGCTTCAGTGGCTCCGACGATACCAGGAAAGGAAGCTGCCAAGCAGCAAACCAGAAAGGGCTCCATTGCAGAGTTGGGGCGTGAGGGATAGGCGAGGGACCAGTGAGGGATGGGGATAGGCGAGGGACCGCAGTGACCACGTGCCTCGGCTGAACCGAGATCTCCAGCTCTCCAATGCCAGGGCAGACTGGAGACCCCAGGAAAACAGCGGGACAGCCAGAGGAAGAGGGCCGTTGGTGACAGCCTAGCTGGGGGGGTGACCCCTTGTGACTCAGGATGGAGAAACTGACCGGTGCTGACGGGGGGTCTCAGGGTCAGGATGGCTCCCATAGTGAATTCCCACAGGGGCTTCTGCAATTGAGTCTCAAGAACAGAAAGTGGGTGTGAGGGTCACTGTAGCCCCAAATTGTCCCCTTGGCCATGAATGGACCTTTGGGAGTCGGCACCATGCTGTGTTATCCTGTGCCTGGAGGATGTGGTGTCAGGCGCCCGTGGTGCTAGTGGAGACCCCACAGGACATGACTCACACTGGGGCCAGAGTGGCTGGAAGGCCTGCTGTGAAGGTCAGCCTCATCCCACGTCACCGGGGCGGCTTTGCATTGAACTTCCCTGCAGGAGAACGGTAGTTTCCTGGGGTTCTGGAAGTCTCCTCCCTGCTTGGAACCCTCTCTCTGCATAAGGGCACTTGGGCTGGGGTCCTGTGGGAACCCTTTACTGGGGTGGGGGATAAAGAACAGGCCCTGTGCACTAACATAAAAAACCTAAGCCCGCTGCTTGTGAGTCCATTCCAACTCAGAAGGCCTGTCTCCTTTACGAAAACTGACTGCCACCAGGTCTTAGTTCCCGTGCCACTCCTGGGTGGGTTTGAACCACCCGCCTTCCAGCTAGCAGCTGAGCACTTAACCATTGCCCACCAGGACGCCTGTAGGACAGTGTACAACTGCCTCAGAGTCTTTCTGAGACTGCAGACCTTAATGGGAGCAGGCTGCCTCGTCTTTCTCCCTGGGAGTGGCTTGTGGGTTTGAACCAGTTAGCAACACAATGCTTAACCCACTGCCCCACCAGGGCTCCCCTAAAATGGTCTTAAATCTGGGATGAGCTGACGCCGATCTGTGTAAGCTGCATTCTGCTGCTGGGTGGGGCAGGCGCAGGGCTGGTGCCAGGCTATGGGTGGGGTTGACGGCCTGTCCTCCCCGCCCTTCCCCCTCCCCAGCTCTACCTGCGGGAGCTGCTACGGCTGACGCACCTGCGCTTCTACCAACATCTGGTCTCACTGGGCGAGGACGGTCTGCAGATGCTCTTCTGCCACCGCTGGCTGCTGCTCTGCTTCAAGCGAGAGTTCCCCGAGGCAGAGGCCCTGCGCATCTGGGAAGCCTGCTGGGCCCACTACCAGGTGAGCTGGGTGGTCACTGCATCCCCGAGTCCTCCTAGGGTCCACTCAGTACGATGGCTGCTTGCTGGTCTCACAGGGGTTGCGACTGTCCCATGCTCTACCTGGGGTCCCCTCTGCACTCTGGTCTCATAGGGACTTGTGACTTCATCCCCATAACCTCCCTGGGGTTCCCTCCTGTACTTCCCTGCCCATCAGACCTGGGTCCACTCTATACGGTGGCGGCTCGCTGGTCTCACTGGGGTTTGTGACTTTGCCCCTGGGGTCCCCTCCTGCACCACCAGCCCTGCATCTATCCCCCAGATCTTCCTGTGGAGGAGCCGCTGGGTAGATTTGAACCATCAACATTTTGGGTTAGCGGCCTAGCACTTACCCGTTGTGCCAGTCAAGGCAGCATATCTGTGCTAATAAAGGAAGTCACAGTGGGGACAGTCCCCATGGACTGCTTTGCATTGGCATGGGTTTGACCCTCCTCCAGTTTGGTACTATCGTGATTTGGCATTTAAGCTACAAGTGAACTCAAAGTGCCCGCGCTCTGCACGTCCCAGGGCCCACGTTATGTGCAGGCTACCCATCGGCAGAGCTCTGTGGCTGCCATCTTGTTGGGTGCCCACAAATCCAGTTAATGTGGTCTGGATTCAGCCATGTTGGGCCCCACCCTAACACAGTGACTGGGCAGGAAATCCCTGAGTCACTGCCTGTACATCCCAACCGACCTGGGCTGGAAGTGAGGCCTGGGGGGGGAGGTGTCATCTCCAGGTTATGTTTTTAACATTTAAAGGGACTCAGAGTGAGAAAAGGCCCCACTTGAGCCTCTGACTGTTTATCAGTTTGCAGATGGAGGAAGTTTCTGGGAACAATGTGCTCACTAAACAAAAGGTTAGAAGAAGAAAGGTCTGGCAACCTTCTGAAAAATGAGCCGTTGGAAACTCTGCAGTTCTCCTTTGACACGCGTGGGGTCACCATGTCGATGGCCCTGGGCCTTACCCTAGGTACCGAGAGCAGTGCTGTGCCCACCCCACCTGTCAGGGGTGTGCCCACCCTTCCCTCTCCTATTCTGACTCCTCCCAGTCTTTACTACCCTGGGCGGAGCTTCAGTAGCCACAGAGCATCATTCTGAGCCCAAACAAGACCATGCCGGATGATTTGGGAGGAAGGGCTTGGGCGGTCCAGGGCTGGGCAGCCTGAGGGGTGGTGTAGACTTGTGGGTCCCGCCCAGATGAGGGGGTCAGGAGTGGCGTTCCTTCTGCCGACACTGGAACTGGTATGAGAACACAGTTCCGGCTGCTCTGGGTGGTGAACATCCGAGACTAAACACGGACTTCCTCTGGCCCCGGAGCCAGTGTGCATCAAAGGCAGTGTGTCCTTGAGGCGTCCGGCAGGAGAACACAGGGTGGACCACAGGCAGGGACAGGCGCTCCTTCCTGCTGCCCCACCGGTGCTGCTGGGACAGACTGGGGAGGCAGAGACTTGGAGGAGGGTGAGAGACGAGAGAGGGGCTGCAGGGAGGGCCCTGTGGGAACAGCCCTTACCCTTGACTCTGGGCTCTTCTCCCTGCGTTCTTCACCACGAAGTCAAACTCAACCCACTGCCCTTCAGTGGGTTCTGACTCAGACACCCTGATGGAGACAGTTTCCCTATAGCTCCTGAGAGCTTCAGAGACTAAATCTTTGTGGGAGTAGACGGCCTCATCTTTCTCCCTCCAAGCCACTGGTGGGTTCAAACCGCTGGATTTTTGGTTAGCAGCCTCACACCTTGCCCACTGCTCCCCCAGGGCTTCTCTCTAGCCACTAGGGTGTCAGGTTTTTGTGGCAGATGTGTCTCAAAGACGAAGCCCAGTTGTCTGATCCCATACTAACTAGTCTGGATGCCCCTATGCAGGCGTTTTGTGGTCAGGAGCTACCATCAGCCGGCCTTAAGTGAAGCAGAGGGTAGGTGGGCACACAGGTGAAGGCTTTTGAGATCAAACACTGGGGTTTCCCAAGGGAGAAGGATTCTGTCTCAGTCTGCATAATAGAGATCCTGCCACCTGCCCTGCAAACTTCAGACATGAGACTGTAACATCAACTCTCACCCAGATTGCCAGCCAATCAGCCTGCCCACACATTCAAAGGTCCAGCCTCACAATCATATGAACCAGCTCCTGAAAATAAGGCTCTCTCGTTTACACGGGGGCAGAGTTTGGCTGAGTGGTAGAATTCTCACCTTTGGGTGAATCTCTTGGTGGAATTGGCAGGGTGTATCACCCAGCGTGGTAACCCAGGGTGTCACACCCTCTACCCCACCCACACACCCACACCATGGACCCCCTCTCTTGGCAGACCATACGGAAGCTTCAGGCCTGCTTTTTGTATCGATGATAGTCAGAAACTGTAATTCCCATATATCATTGAATATAATGACTATACTTCGTGTGGGTCCAGAATGGCTGGTGGGTTTGAACTGCCGACCTTGAAGTGAATCCTCCTGTGCTTATCCTACTTAAGTGCCATCGAGTCTGTTCGGACTTATAGCAACCCTTAGCATAAACAACCATCAAAATTTAAATCACATCTTGAAATTCCAATATCATACAAACAACATAAATGTATTTGCATGTACACATTTCACCTAGTTCAAGTGAAGTTCGGTGAGAGAACAATAGAAAAGTAAAAGCGTTTAAGAGTGACATGAAAAATGATGTTCATTTTAACGAGATAACATTCATGGATTCAGTTTGCATAATCAATACTGGCCAAGTAATGCAGACACTGGAGACAAGGCATATGGAAATAAGTTTATCAATGAACTAATACTATGAAAATCAACAGGAACAAATTCACAAACGTTCGGCACTTTGCTGAATGTCTCCACTAAATCGGGGCTCTCCTGGCCTCTAAAGCTGCGAGTGTGTGGATCGCTTTATCAAGGCAATGAATGCCTTTTGCCAACTCACTTTCAACGGATAATGTAGCAAGATAGCAGGCCGTGGCCGCCCTGTGGAAGATCACAAATAGCTCTTGAGTTACGGCTTTGAAATGTGTCTCTCACCTGGAGCCAGACACACAGATGGTCACAAGGAAATCTAGGATTGAGTGAAAGGTTGGGGAGGAAGTGTTCGAAGCCCCATTCGGCCGTAAGTGTCAGAACCTGTAATGATGCCAGCCTTTGGTTTCTTCCAGCTCAGTGTCTCTGCTTCCAGGTGCCTTCTCAGCCTTGGTCTTTCTACTGGAAACTCACCGACAGAGCTTCATCCTGGAGAGTAGTTACTTTGGGACAATGTTGTTTACTGTCGCCAAGTTGTTTCCAACTCATAGTGGGAACAGAAAGCCTCATCTTTCTCCTCCAAAGTGGCTGATGAGCCTGAACCTCTGGCTTTGTGGTTCGTATCCCAGTGCTTATCCCACAGAGTGGGATGCTTTTAACTCTTCCTTGGTGGCAGACAGGCGACTCTTCACTTCAACAGTCCTTAATCTGATCTGCCTGGAGCTCAGAATGAAGTGGTCCACACACTCGAGCCTCCCCACCTTAGTTTCTTCTTGCAGAGTAAGCCCAGCAGGACTAGTATTGCCTGCTCCCATCCCCTGCCATCCTCGTCTTGAACCTGGTTTTCCTCTCTGCCATAGTTCCATAGTCAGCTGGTGTTACAAGCACTTGTCCAATTACATGCTCCACTAGGTGACCGCTCCTCTGCAGAAGAAAAAGCTTTGGTGCCTCCAGCTTTGTCACAACCTGGTTTGAGAGTTAAATTCCTAGTCTGGAGGTTCTGGCATTGAAGCTGAGCTTCCTACAGCTTGTGCGTCGCTCTTGAAGTACAGGTAGTGCTGGAAAGCCAAGTCTCAGACGGCACGCAACAGACCGTGTGCTGCTTCTCTGAAGCCTTCACGTGGCTCACAAAGCGCGCCCATCATTGCCACGAATTGATCAGACTTTAACTGGCGACAGTCTTTTCACTGACGCACCAGTGTGGAAAATGACCACATCCCATCGGTGGGTGGAAGCAGCAAAGGACAGAACCATTGTCTCAGAGTTCCAAAAAAGCTGTCACACGTCATGCAATTCAGCCAGAGAACGCCGAACGCACAAGTGAAGCAAATGGTCCACACATCTCTTTCTTGTTGTTTCCCTTAAAAATGACTCGTATATCTTCATGAATTACAGCCACGGCTGCAGCATGGCTGTCCAATACCGTCTGTCCAGTCCACCCCATTCCAGTGTTTTAAGAAGGTCAGAATGCGGAGCAGCTTTTGTCCCCTTTAAAGGGAAAAATCCCAGGGACACCTTTTTCTCTTCACCTTTCCTATTGCTGACATTTCCATATCCGATCACGTCGGACATCTGGCCAGTGTGTGATATAACATGTGTGTGGCATACATGAACCCAGAGAACTTTGCAGACGTTACACCCATGACAAGCTCCTCTTGCACACGATTTCCCAGGGCACTTACACACTCGTTTTGAGCTTGGTGTGGTAGATTAGAGACTGATACTGCACGGTGCTCGGTCAGCACTGGCTCCGAAAGCATCTCAGCCAACTCCAGGCAGTTTCGTTTATTCAGAGAAGCTCCGTCTTCCTTGTGGCCGTGAAACCACAGATTGTACTTGGCATCAAGCAGTCTGTGTAAGATGTCCCTCCACTCATTCGTCACAGCAGAGCTACTGGCTTCCCTTGTCTTGGGGCATGTCTTAAGGTGATGGACTTGGGGGCTCAGTTTCCACCACTTCTGAACCCCTGCCACACCTTTGGATGTTGTATCTGTCGCGCAAACCGATGGCAGCAAAGGCAATTTATTCTCACTGAGGTGTGAGTAAGCCGTCCAGGGCTGAAAATTTTTCTGACAATTTGGCATCCCCTTGTAAGACCACACTTACTGAAAGCTGGTGCTCCTTGACTTTCTTTTTTTTAATTTTTTATTGTGAATTGAGTAAAAGTTTGCAGAGCAGATCATCAGTTTTACATTCTACAAATCATATACTTTGTTTCATTACGATGATTATTACCCCTTCCACGTACCATCAGTTAACAGTATTTCTCTCTATTTATTTTGGCTGGGTTTTTTTAAAACATTCAGGCATATATAATAATTTACACCACCAAAGGGCACATTCTGCAAGTCTGCCTCCTGACCTCCAGCACACAGCCTTTCTCTTTCCATGAGTTTAGAGTTCTCGGCTGCTCTCTCTCTCCATTTCATCATCTCTGACTCCATCTCTGGTGTCGCTGCTTCTCTGGATAGGGTCCTGCATTCCGCTTGTGCTCTTCTCCTTTGATGATCCTAGGGTCCTCGGTTCCTGGACTATAAGATTAACTACTCTCCCGTTTTTGTTATAAAACTTCTACCTTTACTGTTGTGACAATCACATTTGCTCATTGACTTTTGCGTCTTGCTTTGCTGCAGCACCCAAAGACCCGTCTTTGTGCTTTTGTTGATTTCAACCTGAAAGTGACCTGGGATGGGTATTTCTCAGAAAGGAGAAAAAAAAAAATCACACAAAACTTGCAAGTCTTCCTCAGTAACGTCCCTCATCAATTCTATATAGCCTCATGGCTACCGTTCCTTCCAGCACTCTCTTCTGCTTCAAATTCCACCAGCTCCACCCCCTGTTCCTCTGCAGAATCACGATGGCTTCAGGGTATCAGCTTTATCAGCTGGAAACGGACCAACATCCAGTCTTTTGACTCCAGCTCGGTTTTCAGTGGTTTAATTCTGGCCTCTTGGATTGACATCATAAACTAGCCCTGCACAATCCATTTTTTAAAAAAAAGATAAATTAGCAGTAATTTGTTTAAAAAAACAAAACAAGAAAATGTACAATATAGACCTTTTGGATGTGTTGGGTTCTATCAAGCATAAATGTTAGCTACTATTTTTTACACCATAATTCAGACCTGAATGCTGAAAATGTCATTGAAATCAGATGGATCTATTTGCCAGGCAGTGAGGCTTTTAAAGAAAAAAACATTTAAAAGCCTAAAACACTTTTTATAAACTGAATTTAAGATTGAAGTTTTATTTTTAAACATATATCACGAGACAGCCTTGCCCCTACTTCATGTTTTAAAAGGCCAGCTTCTCTATTTAGTTGTCAGTTATATAATTAATAATTGATCATATTTGTAAGTTTATTGTCAGTTTTGATCATAGAATGATACGTGATAGAGTTGTAAATTGCTTGTGTGTGCTATTTCTTAGATTTATGTGAACACCAAGCAAAATTGAAGAGGTCCTGCTAGGTAGAGCAGTGGGTTACAGGTTAGCAGTTCGAGTACACCAGGTGATCTGAGGGAGAAAGATAAGGCTTTTGCTCCCATAAAGATTTACAGCCTCGGGAACCCTATACCAGGTCGTTATGAATCAGAACCGGCTCCACGGCACATATCCACCACCAAACAAAATTGTTCCGTAAAATCGACATTGAATTCTATAATGTTTTTAGTCCTGGTGCAAAAGCCTTTTTTGTTGTTTTTTTCTTTTTTCCTTAATGCCTACTTCACTCTCAAGAAAGTATTGGTAACAGGGTCCACAAATACTAATTACCACAATACTGTAGTGAAACATCAGAGAATTTGACAAAGTCACCAACTGTGAAGAACCCGGCTGCCAGGAAAACAGCAGAGGCTTGTAGCGTGCGCAGGTGAAAACTTGTGTTTGGGTACCAAGGACAGCTCTGGCCTGAACGCACCAGAAGCCTCAAAAGGTCAATAAGTGTACAGAGGTAGCCAGGTAGGGGTGTTATCCATGTTGTTGTCATTAAGTGTTATCCAGTCGATTCTGACCCATAGCGACCCTGTATAGGGTTTCCGAGGAGCAGCTGGTGAGCTTGAGCCACCGATATTGCAGTTCAAATGGCTTTGCAGTCTGGTGCATTAACCCACAGCACCACACTCCATGTAGCTGGGCTTAACGATAAGTGTTTCTATCACTATAAATAAATACATAGCTTTTTATTAAAAACTACCCAGTGGAGCTCTGCACAACAATTTTATAGGCGGTCATTGTGGCGTTGACTCTCTGGCAGTGTGAGTATGGCCTCCCCCTTGCCATGCGTCCCTAATGACCCACCGAACTCCTGGACCTTAGATGCAGCCACTACCCACCTGTCAGTGGACGGTTGTGTGTTGGGTAATGCTGAACGGATTTCAGCAGATCTTTCAGACTGAGAGAGACTAGGAAGAAAGGCCTGGTGTTCAGCTCCTGAAGATCGGCTAGTGAGAACCCTGTGGGTCACAAGAGTCGGATCCCTTTTGTGCACAGGGTCACCACGAGTTGGGACTGACTCGCCAGCAGCTGACAGCACGCATGGACCACTTGCTCCCAAGTCTGGAGAACGCTGGTTGGTGTAGTTGCAGACTGTTTTCAATGGGGTGGTTCACCCTGGGGGAGGAGGACAGGAGGGTAACTGCTGCCAGAAGGTTCTCACCGTGCGTGTTCTGACTCAGCCTTCCGTACTCTCTCTCTCAACACCTTCATGAATAAATAAGACATTGAAGGTAACCTAGGTCAGTCTTCAGGAAAGAAAGGTGTTTCTTTGCCCCTGAATCATGTGGCGACCCAAAGAGGCATGGCAGGCAGAGGGTGGCCAGCATGCATGTCTTTGGGTACAGGTTCCAGCATTGGACCTGGTACTTGTGAACATGGCCTTGTTTGGAAATAGGATCCTTTTATTTTTAGCTTTTTATTGTGAATTGAGTTCACAGAACACATCATGAGTTACACAGTTGGTGTGTCATTCCAATGATTGCAGGCAACTCCGTGGACCATCAGTTAGCAGCATTTGTTCACTTTGTTTTGTCCCATCCACCCTGTAACCATCATGTTGTTGATAGATGCCATCCAGTCTGTTCTGATTCACAGCGACCCATCCTCACTGTCACAGCTACGCTTGAGCCCATTGCTGCTGCCATTGTACCAGTCCATCTCAATGGGGGTCTCACTCTTTCCTCCCACCCTAGAATGTTTCATTTAACAAGAAAATCTTTTATTAACTTTTTAAAGCAGTGGTCGCATGCAATAGATAGCGTCTTTGCAGATGTTGCCAGTTAGCAACCTTCGTAAGGTAGGTCTTAATTACATCTGAGTTGTATCCTTATAAGAGAGACACAGATGCAGAGGAAGGACAAGACAAGGAATGCCAGGGTCACAGAAGAGACAACGAGACGACCAAGGCTGTGAGGAGAACACAACCCTACTAATGCCCTGATTTCAGATTTTGGACCCCCCAGTACTGTGAGGAACTACATTCTGCTGTTTAAAGCCATCAACTCTAAGGAGCTCTGGTAGCGTCGTGGTTACAATCGGGCTGCGAACCTCAAGGTCAACAGTTCGAAACTACCAGCTGTTCCGTGGGAGAAAGATGAGACTTTCTGCTCCTATAAAGATTTACAGCCTCGGAAACCCTGTGCAGGGTTGCTATGAGTCGGAACTGACTCCATAGTACATAACCACCACCACCTCTCTGGTGCTGGAGTCCTGGTGTGGCACTGTGGGTTAATGCACCAGATTGCAAAGCAGTTTGAACTGTAAGGTCTGTGGTTCAAGCTCACCAGCTGCTCCTTGGAAACCCTATACAGGGTCGCTATGGGTCGGAACTGACTTGAAGGCACTTTAACAACACCTCTGGTTCTGGTGGAGCTGCAGGATAAGCACCGGACTGCTAACCACAAGGTTGGTAGTTGAAACCCACCAGCTGCTCCTTGGAAACCCTATACAGGGTCAATATGAGTCTGAACTGAGTAGACTGCTATTAACAACAGCTCTGGGTCATAAGGAACCCTGGTGACATCACATGTTGGGCTGCTAACCACAATGTCAGCAGTTCAAATCCACCAGAGAAAGATGAGGCTTTCTGCTTTTGTTAAGGTTTACAGCCTTGGAAACCCCATACAGGGTCACTATGAGTCAGATGCGCCAGACACTCTATGGCCCCCTTTGCAGAGGGGAAGACTGAAAGAGGTCACGTGATGTGCTGGGGGCCCCATGACCTGAACTCGCTGGCTCTGAGCCCAGGCTGCCTCTACACAAAGCCTGGGAGCCTGGGATGGGGCTGGTGACCTCATCGAAGCCCCCTTTCTCCCCAGACGGACTACTTCCACCTTTTCATCTGCGTGGCCATTGTGGTCATCTACGGGGATGATGTCATCGAACAGCAGTTGGCCACTGACCAGATGCTACTACACTTCGGAAACCTGGCCATGCACATGAACGGGGAGCTGGTCCTCAGGAAGGTGAGCTCCTGCCCGCCCCCCCTCCCCAACCCCCGTGTCCTTATGCAGGCTGGGGGGGTGGCGTGCACATGAATGGGGAGCTGGTCCTCAGGAAGGTGAGCTCCTGCCCCACCCCCCCACCATGTCCTAATGCAGGCTGGGACTAGGGGCAGGGAATGTGCATGTGAACGGGCAGCTGGCCCCCACTCCATGGGTCAGCCTCTGTCCACAGGTAACCTTGGCCTGACCATCCTGGTGGCAGCAGGCCTGCAGGGCACCCACACTGGGTGAACAGCTTACCTAAAGGCCGGGAAGATGGGCTGGCATCTAAGGGTCTGCTGGACAAGCAGGGGGGCACTAGCTTTGGCTGCCATTTCCCAGACCCCTAAAGTTTTCTGTCGATTCCTCCAAAAAAGGCGAGGAGGGGTCTTCAGGGGTAGGCGGTCCAAGGGTAGGATGAGGACCTGGTTAGCATCGTACAGACCAAGACAGACAGATGGAGGGCTGAGCATGCAGCCACAATGGGGCAGTGTGATGGCATGTCCTGGCACAGAGGGGATGGGGGGGTGGCGTCCAAAGTGAGGAATGGGCCTGAACCGTGATGAGCTGTCCTGCTCACCTCCCAGTGAAGGCCCCCTAGGAAGCCTGGTCTGTCTCCAGCCCCACGCATGCTCCGGACTCTCCCGGTAGGCCCTGGGTATGTGGTGAGCCAGAGCCGGCTATGTGTGCTTGTCACTGCACTGTCCTGCCCCTCACCCCGATCCTCTCTCTGCAGGCCAGGAGTTTGCTGTACCAGTTCCGCCTCCTGCCCCGGATCCCCTGCAGCCTACATGAACTATGCAAGCTGTGTGGGTCAGGCATGTGGGACAGTGGCTACATCCCCGCCGTGGAGTGCTCCGGTCACCACCCGGGCTCTGACAGCTGCCCCTATGGGGGCACCGTGGAGACGCCTTCGCCCAAGCTTCCCCGAGAGGGCAAGAAGGCCCCGAAGGCACCTCGTGAAGGCTTCGTCTTCCGCAGATAGACTGGGCCCCCCCGCCCCGCGCTGGACGAGGGTTGAGGGGACTCCAGTGGAGGTCCCGGCATGTGGGAGGGGTGGGGGTAGGTGTGGAGGGGATGGGGAAGGTGGGAACGTAAGAAAAATACATTTGGGGCACACGAAGGAAACCCTTTTGTCTAACTGCAAAATCGAGTCTGAAAGTGACAAAAATTCCGAAAACGCTGGAGTTGAACACCCAGCCGGGCTCATGGCTCAGAAGCAGGAGGCCCAGGCCCTTCATAGATGTCAGCGTGTCCCAAGTCCCCAACATCTTGTCGATTCATGGTCCAGGGGGTAGGGAATGCAGACCTGAAGAAGATGGTCTAGTTCACCCACCAGCACCTGAAGATGTAGGACAGAGACATCCTCTCTGGGGAGGCAAAGTACCTCCCATTCCTGTGAGCTGATGGGACGATGTGTGCTGGAAACAGAAGCTCTGCCTGGGAGATATCAGCAGAGCGGGATGTGAGGCTGGTGGGGCCTGGTATGGGAGGAGCTCGGGCCACGATGGTTGGAGAATGTGGGCTGGGTTTTCTACATGAGGTTCCTCAGTGTGGTTTGGGTCAACTCTTCAAATACAACTAACCAAGGCCTGAACAAGTTGATGAGTGTTTATGTGCATATGGGTGGTATGCATATGTGTGCATGCAGGAGCCTATGAAGAGAAGACAGATTGTCCAGGAGACATGCTAGTGTATTAGCTAGCCTACCAAGACAAAGGCACCTGAGCCGAGCCTGGGAGACTTAACACAAGGATCTTCCATGCTCAGCCTCCCAGGTGATCAGATGCAAAAGTGGCCACATAAAGAGCCAGCACTCAGGACACCTTTGCTTACTGTGTGGGAAGAGTGTTCCCAACGCCCCCCTCCCCTTCAGACGATTGTCAGTTGCTACTGTGATGTAGAGATGGTGGGATGTGTGAGGAGACCTCCTGACTTAGGTCCTCTGTGAGGAAGGACCCTTTCCCCACACACTCGGGGATGTCCTGAGAGTGTTCATGGGGAAACATCCCACACATGAGTCACTTCCTGCTCTTTGCACTGAAAGGTGGGTTCCCAATCCCTTTCTCCCAGCTTTTCTTTCTTTCATGAGCCCAGGCCATCCAGCTGGCCCTCTGAGACCAGCAAGCGTCAGTTCCCAAGTTCCTCTGGGGAGATCACCCTTCAAAGCCCAGGTCTTGTGGACCATTATGGTCCAGAAGTGGGGGGTCCAGGCTGGGTGGGGGTGGACTTCTCATCCTATTCCCTTCCAGGAGACAGGATGTCTTTCCCTCGGGGCCTGAGCAGGGGCGATTTCCTCCCTCGGGTGAACCAGGCATACCCCTGTGAGCATTTACCCACAGTGCTACTGTGTAACAAGTAGCCCCGAAGCTCAGTGGCCTAAAGCAGTATGCACCTACTTAACACACAAGTCTGTGCGTCAAATTCAGGCTGATAGGTTCTTTGGGTCGTGTTCCACTTGCTCAAAGGTCCGGGTCAACTGGCTGTCAACTAGCTGCTCGAGTCCCCAGGGGGATGGACGGTTGGCTGTGGTGAGGGGCTGCCTATATACCCCTCAACCCTTCACCTCCAGCGAAGGCAAAGTTGCCAAACAAACACCACACCTGCCACCACCCCTTGAGCAGATTCAGCAGTGAGGGGTGGAGAAACAGACCCGGGAATCTGCTCCCCAGGGGTGGGGAGACAGCCGCTGCCCCAGTAATCTTCCCAGCCAGCAAGAGGCATTAGGAGAATCCTTACGACACCCAGTGCCCCCACCATGGGCACACACACATATGGGCTGATAGTCCTGTGCTTCCCTCCACTGTGCCGCTGATTGATCTCGTATTTTAAAGTGACCCTTTGTGCGATGGACCAGCGTGCATGTGTGCGGACTTAGAAGTATGGCACTGTGTATGTGGTGCAGGCTTTCTGGGAGGGCAGTGTCCATGTATGGGCAGAGGGGACATGTGGGGCTCACTGGCCAGGAGAGGGGCTCTGACGGCACCCGTCCCTCCCAGGAAGGGGGTGGGGGACTTAAACTGGGGTGCTGGTGGGGTGGGAGTGGGGGTTCTGCCCAGTGATGGAGCATGGAGAAAAAGAGAGTCCAAGCTGGACAAGGGAAATGGATATCCACACAGAAGGGAGCGCGTGCTGTTTCAGGGGGCTTTGACTGCAGTCCTCCAACTTGTGGGAACTGGAACCCAGTGGGGAGGGGCCCTCTGGCTACCTTTGCCAAGTCCAGAAGGTCCAGCTGCACTGGTAGTGTGGGTCTTAGGTGTGGTCAGCAGACGTTGTCCAGCTGGTCTTGTTCAGCCAAGGTGCCAGGAGGATGAAGACTGTAACCCCAAAGAGGGAGGGACTTTGGGTTCTGGAAACTTCTTGCAGCCCCATCAGGGCAGGCGGGACAGCTGGACAGAGGCAGGTCCTGGAACAAGCCTTAGCCTGGGACCAATGGCGTTTCCTTGATGTGGAGTTCAGGTAAAGATCACCCAGCTCTGACCTCTGACAGGTGGCCCCTGGGGATGGTGGACACAGGGAAATGCAGGTAAGGTGACATCAACATCTACCTTGATAGCCCCCTAACAGCCTCAAGGTCAGCAGTTCAGAACTACCAGCTGTTCTGCGGGAGTAAGATGAGGCTTTCTACTCCTGTAAAGATTTACAGCCTCGGAAACCCTGTGCATGGTCGCTATGAGTTGGAACCGACTCCATGGCACATAACAACCACCACCACCAATGACCTGGGGTGTTGCCTGTTGGTGGGGGACCCCCAGCTCAGAGCTTGTCCACCTGCTTTTCTGGCAGAAGAACAGGGGTGTGGGAGGACCAGCCCCCAGGAAAGGAAGGCCTTGCCTCATTTCCAACCTCTCCTGCCTGCAGGGAGACTTACGGTGTCGGGGTGCCCAGGGCTCCCCAGGCAACAATACCCATCAACCACCAGCCCAGCGGAGTCCCTGGAACCAGCTGCCCTGCCAGGGAGGGGCCTCAGATGCAGGGCTGCGGCTAGACTGGTGCTGGGAACTGGGTTACACTGGGGTTTACCGGCAAGCAGTAAGGGATCCCTAACTCCAAAATAACAAAGCAAGTGTCTCCCAAGTCCGTGAGGTCCCCTAGAGGTCAGGAGAAGCAGTGCGGGATGGGGTCTCTTGCCTAGAACTCAGGTTCTGGTCCCGTCTCCTGTTCTGCCCAGTGAGGTTCCACCCAGTTGTTCAGTCTGGGTTCCCACCTATAAATAGTAGAACGCTGTGGAGAGCGTTTACCTGCCATGACAACTGTCCCAGGATGGTCCCTACATGCAGGGAAGAGACCCTGAGAGGCAGTGTCCACTCCTGCAGGAAATGCAGTCGGGCACCATCTAGAGCTGAGCATCCAGAATGCAGAGACCAGGAGAGGGCCTTAGGTGACCAGGAGAGGGGTCAGTGCACAGAGTGGCATGGGGGGCCCTGGGTGACCAGGACTGGCCGGTGCACAGAGTGGCATGGGGGGCCCTGGGTGACCAGGACTGGCCGGTGCACAGAGTGGTATGGGGGGCCCTGGGTGACCAGGACAGGGGCTGGTGCACAGAGCGGCATGGGGGGCCCTGGGTGACCAGGAGAGGGGTCGGTGCACAGTGCGGCATGGGAGGCTCTGGGTGTGGATTTCCAGGTGGAAGACCATATAGACATTTAGAGAGGGCTAGTTCCATAAGCACTATGCATAGTGGTTACGAATCGGGCTGCGAACCACACGGTCAGCAGTTCGAAACTACCAGCTGTTCCGCTGGAGAAAGATGAGGCTTTCTGCTCCCATAAAGATTTACAGCCTCGGAAACCCTGTACAGGGTTGCTATGAGTCGGAACCGACTCCACGGCACATAACAACAACAACAGTTCTATAATATGGTCTCTGTAGCACCTTTGGGTGAGGGGGGTGGTTTTGTGGAAGAGGCACTCTAATACCACTTCCACCAGGACAGAGATGACTGATGACTGACCAGTGAACTGACCTCCCTGCTGTACTAGTGGTTTTGTTTGTTTCAACGTCCTGTTCTATGTATTTGTTTTAAACATGTGTCCTGCCTCCAGCCAGTGATTTATTTCTTTATTTTTTAGATACAGCCACCTGCACGTCGCTCTGCCTCAGTCCCTGGACTGGTCACCCTGTACACACTGAGTCACGGCCCCCACACTTCTCCCCACTGCAAAGTGAATAAACTGGATTTGACAACACTTGTCCATTCTTCTACCCTTCATAGGAGGCTAGTGGCTGTCATGTGTAAGACAGCCGACTCCAGTTCTGGCCAGGGGTCTGAGTGTGATCACTTGCCTGGCCTAGGGTCCATCATATACAGGGGCATGGAGAAAAAGGCGGCAGAGGAGTCCACGGGGTAGCCAGGTGCCGGGTCTTGGTTGCGGTCTGCCCCGCGATGGGGAGGCTAATGGGGGTGAATGAGATGTGCCTCACACGAGGGTGGGGGTGTGAACCCCCGAACTAGTGGAGCTGAGCTCCCAGAGCCTGGATCACTCACGGGACTCCATGGAGCCCTGGCTGCCTGCTCCACAGTCAGGAAAAGCTGAGGCTTGCATTTGTGGCTTGATGCAGAGCCAGACAGGGTGACTTTGACTTTGGGGTGGGGGAGGGGTTAAGGCGTCAGAGTCATGGTCATGAGCCGGGCACCATGGAGGAAGCTTGCTCAGACTCAAGTCCCTCGGGTTACTCCTGATTCTTGTGGACCAGGAGCCATGGATGCGGGCAGTGGGGGCTCAGGAAGCAGGAGAGGGAGAGGGACCACAGAGCTCCCCTTGAACACCCACCCCACTGTGGATCTCCTGTCTGAGGGTCTGTCTCACCCTCTGCTACCCTGACCTCAGTTAAGTGTCTGAGAGCCCCTTCACCCCCTCTCTGCATGCCCAAGGCCAGGTGAGCAGATGCCTCAGGCTAGGTTCAGGAGGGCCCCGGGTGTCATTCAGGAAAGATGCCAGAGTAAAGACCACCCATCTGTCATGTGTGTGGAGGTGGGGGGTG